GCGATGTTGAATGAAATGGGAAAGATTTGGTGTGAAAAATAATTTGTACAAACTTTTTAAATAAATCAGTATTAAAACAAAACAAAAAGAGATGGTACTAAATACTAGTGTCCTCATTTCTCAGCTGAGAGTTTAGAGAAATTTGCTAAGACTGAAATTTTTTACTTATGAAAAGAAGAGAGTTCTAATTGTATATTACAGAGTTGGTTGTCAAGATTACTGACACTGAATGCTAAATAAAAGATGACAATATTAGTGTTTGGGTTTGTTTGGGGGTTTTTTAAACAGAATACCTAAGAGGGCTCTAGACTATTGGTGAAAACATAGTATATTTCCCCTAATTGATGCCAAGTATGTGTTTCTCATTTATTTTTTTGTTTGTTTCTCTTTAAGGATTTCCAATTTTTTTTACTTAAATGAGAAGATGAATCCTCCAAAATCTAAAAAACCCAAGAAAAAATGTATTGCCTCTGTTACTGCCACTGAAATGGGGTCAGTGAGTTCCAATTCCGGTTTTGATGTAGATTCCATGAGGGAGCTGGTGAGTGCCACCAGGAAGTTCTCGCAGATGTTAATTTACTTCAGAGAAGCCATTCTTTCAGGTTGGTCAACTATTTTATCTTAACATTCTTCCTGACTAGTTTGTAAAGTTTACCATCCAGCCTAGCTATAAATATGTGTGTATACAATGGTAGGTGCAGTGTATTCTGATTATTTACAATATGCAGACCTTCTCCTGTCCACCTCCCCTTGCAAATAGTTGATATCTATAGTGTAAACTAGTTCATGGTAGAACTTTGGTTAAGGAAAAAGATTACAAAAAATGAAAATCAGTCTTTTAATGGTTTTTAACATTTGGGCCAATTTGATACAAAAAAATGAAGATTCTTAGTGTTTTTATATAAGGCTTCCTGGGATATCATAGAAATTCAGAAAATCTCACTATCAGTATGTTAAATATTTCTTCTTCAGTATATGTTCTGAAGTAGAAAAACAAAAACACATACTGTAGTTTTATTAAATGATGTTTCAAATGAACTTTTACAATTTAAAAAAAAGAAAATACATAGCTTACGAATGGTCAAGAAGTAGTGATAAGGAGCATAGATTTTTGTAGTCCAAAGACAGTACTAAAAGTCCCATAAGGACAAATACTGTAAAAGACCATTATTATAGAACGAGTATGAGTATGTTTTATTGAACTGCTTATAACTTAACTATGCTTTTTTATGGAAAATCCCCCCAAACAACCGCACTTGTAGTCTCAGAACTTGGATTTTTAAAGTTCTTCTAAATAAACAAAAAAAATCACAAGTAATTTTTTAAACTCTACAAATACTACTGCAAAAGTTTTTTGTATCTCTTCATTTTATTGGCTTGATTTATGAAGTCTAATTATAGATTACTAAATGATGATAAAGCTGCCTTGTTACTGTGAAAACCCCCCAAAATCAAACTGGCTACCTTGTAGCTCTCCCTCCAGTTTCCAAGGCTATAATTGTAATTGAGAATAGACTGCTTATCTTTTTAATTTGAACTGCCAGAAACTTAGAGCCTTTTGGTTTTCAAAACTCCCTACAGATTGCCCCAAATATTAAACTGTATTTACACTGGTGGAGCAAAATGACCAAGTGCTCTACCACTAGCTGAAAGGTTCATGGTTTGAATCCATCTAGGGCACCTTGGAAGAAAGGGATAGCCGTTTGCCTCTGAAAAGTCACAGCCTTAAAAACCCTGTGGCACAGTTGTACTCTGACATACTGAATCCCCACAAATCTAAAGCTGTGGGATGACAATATCATCATCATACTGGCCTTGAATTTCTTAACAGAATGGCACATCTGCCATTTATTTAAAGAAATATATCATGCTAATACGAAACCTGTATTTGGACCAAGAGGCAGTCATCAGAACAGAGCAAGGAAACACTGCATGGTTCAAAATTGGGAAGAGTGTACGCCAGGGATGTGTCCTGTCTCCATACCTTTTCAACCTGTATGCAGAACAGATTATCTGGGAAGCTGGGCTCTATGAGGAGAAGTGTGGCGTC